GGGGGAAGAAAGAAACAGGGAGGGGGAAGAAAGAAACAGGGAGGGGGGAAGAAGGAAACTGACAGGGGAGGGGGGAGAAAGAAACTGACAGGGGAGGGGGGAGAAAGAAACTAACAGGGGGGGGAGACATTGACGGGGAGAGAGAAATTGACAGGGAGGGGGGAGTGACAGGGGAGGGAGGGGGAATGAGAGTAACAAGGGAGGGGGGGGAGAAGAGAGTGACAAGGGAGGGGGGAGAGATTGACATCCATCACACACACACACACAATCACACACAATGCACCCCTTACACACAAAGACAATGAACCCCTTGCACACAGAAAAACACACAATGCATTACACACACAATGCATTACACACACACACGCAATGCAATCCTTACACACAATGCATCCCTTGCACACACAGAAACACACAATGCATTCCTTACACACACTCAATGCACCCCTTAGACTCACACACTTCATCCCTTACATACACAGAAACACACCTTGCAGCCCTTACACATACAAACACAGATTCACACAATGCATTCCTTACACACAAATCAGGATATCCCCTACACACTCCATCCCCTGTGAACAAACTCATTGGTGGAAAATGAAGGTGGACCCTGGGACCCAGACCTTGAGCTGTGTAAAGGGCCCCCAAAAAATGGAGCTGCTTCTCGCTCTCCCAGAACATTGATTTGTGTGACCACAGTTACAAACAGCCTCCAGAGATCCTGTTATACACCAGACCAGTGGAGCCAGACTGCAGCTAGAGCCCATCATCATCCTCATCTGCTTGTAAGTAGGTAATCTAGTATATTATTTGTGGCACTAATCTCTAATTTACCTCACATTAAAGAAACACTATAGTCCCCAGAACCACTGCACCTTAATGTAGTGGTCCTGGTGTCTATAGCCTGTCCCTGCAGGCCTTTTAATGTAAACACAGCGGCACTGCAGCACTAGCGTTAGTTAACATGGCAGGTCATATGGGTGGGGCATTGCGATGTCACGGGGGGGAGGAGGGGGGCGTCAAACTTTACTTTTGCCTAGGGCGGCAAAAATCCTTGCACCGGCCCTGCTCCTACCGAGTAACTTGTGAAGCTGCCTCCCTGAAATTAGGTGACCACCTCCCTGAAATTAGTTTTGCATGTTAGGATGTCTGACATTGGGAAATTATTTAATGACTCTGTGACTATTGACCATGTGACAATAACCAGATTAAGGAACAGCGCATGCATGCACAAAAATATAGTTATGAGATTTTACAAAGCTACTCAAAATCACCAATCTTAGCAATCAAATATAGGGATTCAGTTCCACCATATGACCATATTGTGCTAAGCCCCACCACTACATCACAATACCCCAATATTGGTGGGTCCTACATTAATTCCAATGTGGGAGACAAACAATCCCCGAAATTGGGGTACTGTGATGTAGTGGTAGCCTTAACATTATATGGCCATATTGTGGAATTGAATCCCCAAATTTGTTTGCTGTAGGCGATTTTAAGAAGTCTTGTAAAATGTTAATTTATATTTTTGTGTGCATTGTTCCTTTATACGTTGGTATTTATCGTAACATCGAAAAATGAATGCTCTAAGTGTGCCCCTAATTCCTCTTTTCATGTGTGACATGACTATTTGTGCTATGGCTCCTTGTCAGTATTCATCCTACAATGTGAATACCCACCTGCCATTGGTGGGAAGCATATATAACATGTCTGAGTTTGTGCAGTCTGGCACTCCTGCTTCCTAGTCGTATTTTCAGCATCAAAAAAATAGACTGTTTTCTTCCAGCTTCCATGACATGTCACCTCACACCAGTGGTGAAACTCCTAGGGTCACTGAGATCACAACTGCGACTAGACCCTCTGTGTTCCACTTTCACAGGAAGTCCAGGAGCTAGCTGACTGGGCAGCTTAGGGCCACTTGAAGTGGCCAGTTGTGCGCTGAGGCAGAGTACGCACCTGCTAACCTGATCAGCAGGTGCCTACTCTGCCAAACTATACTGTGTGAGGGGGAGAATGGAGGCAGGCAGTGATGGACTGCTGAACTTCCTGCTCTTCCTGCACTGTTTCTGTGCAAGCCCTGCAGTGATTCCAGGACCAAGAAGAGCAAAGCTGTACCTTGCATCTTTGCTGCAAATAAGAAACTGACGAATGTGAACATGGCAAAATTGAACTCAGTGAATTTTGCCATGTGTCAGGATTCCTCCCTATTCTCGCAGAATTCCTCCATGTTTGATTTCAGCCAGATCGGCACTACCCGTATGACTTCCCGGTTTCAACAATCTCTCTCCACCCATGCGTCCGACGTCATGCACTTCCCTTCAAAAGGAAGCCGTGACCGCATCCAGATTGCTCAATCAATGTTTCCTGTGTTTGATACTCTTGTATACCTTGTTGCCTATTTACCAACGGAGCTTCTAATTGATTTCCTGTGTACCGAACCTCTGGGCTTGATCCTGACTACGCTCGACTCTCTGACTTGGAGCAAGACTTCACTTCTGATTCCTGCATTCTCCACATACCTCAAGGAAGCATAATCCACTCTATCCTGGAAGGACTCTCATGCTCATCACTCAAAGCAAGATACATTCTTCTCTTATTGGGATTAACAATAGGTTCTTTACTGAAGTTATTTGGAAAGGATAAGGAATTACTAAATCTGCTTCTGGCATTGTATTTATATATATAAATTGAAAGATTCATAAGCCAATTACTCACTCTTCAATTGTCTTACTCAATAGTATTTGGAGTCAAAAGGACTATAAGCACCGTGAAACCAGGATCTATCTAAGTACCAGATTTTGTCTTTTTCCAAAAGGACTGTATTGTTTAATACATCAGGAATCTGTCAAACGTTATATTGAAGTCTATAGACTGTATTGCTAATTAAGCATTTCTTTATTAAGTGTTCTTGCATAGCAAGACCACTTAATGTTATCTCACATATATATTATTATTATTATTATTATTAAATGTTCTTGCATAGCAAGATCACTTAATGCTATCTCACATATATATTATTAATAGTGATGTACCGAACGGTTCGCCGGCGAACGGTTCCTGGCGAACATAGCATGTTCGCGTTCGCCACGGCGGGCGAACATATGCGCGGTTCGACCCGCCCCCTATTCGTCATCATTGAGTAAACTTTGACCCTGTACCTCACAGTCAGCAGACACATTCCAGCCAATTAGCAGCACAGCCTCCCTAGCAGACCCTCCCACCTACTGGACAGCATCCATTTTAGATTCATTCTCAAGCTGCATGCTTAGTAAGAGGAGGGAAAGTGTAGCTGCTGTTCATAAGATAGGGAAAAGCATAGCTAGGTTAGGGATAAGGGTATGCTTTTTTTATTTTATTTTTCTATGTAATGTAAATGCACTTAGTTGTCTGCCACTGCTGCCAGCTTCTGTGTCAGGCTCACAGTGCCCATTTCCCCAGTCAGTGCCACCAATTACATCTGGTGTCACAATAGCTTGGATTTAAAAACAAAAAACTTTTTTCACTGTTATAGATTGAATAGCAGTCAGTTGTCTGCCACTGCTGCCAGCTTCTGTGTCAGGCTCACAGTGCATACTGTGCCCATTTCCCCAGTCAGTGCCACCAATTACATCTGGTGTCACAATAGCTTGGATTTAAAACAAAAAACCTTTTTTCACTGTTATAGATTGAATAGCAGTCAGTAAAGCGGGTGTGTTACGCTAACAGTGTATACCGTGCCCAGTGCCACCACTCACTGGTGTCATAATAGCTTGGATTTAAAAACAAAAAACTTTTTCACTGTTATAGATTGAATAGAAGTCAGTGTCCTTAAAGCGGGTGTGTTACGCTAACAGTGGATACGGTGACCATTGCCACCACTTAGATCTGGTGACACAAAGCTTGGATTTAAAAAAAGCAAACACTTTTTTCACTGTTATAGATTGAATAGCAGTCAGTGTCCTTAAAGCGGGTGTGTTACGCTAACAGTGGATACGGTGACCAGTGCCACCACTTAGATCTG